AAAAAAAAAAAAAAAGAAATGTGAACTAACAGATGCACTGAAGGCCTAAATGTAAAAGCAGAAACTAAAGAGTAATGGAAGCTATAGAACATCTTTGTGACCAAGAGGTAGGAAAGTACTTCTTAAATAAGATGCCAAAATTGTAAACCATTCTATATTTTGATGATTTACTTACCAAAAATCAATTTCTGTTCAACCAAGAATATCATGGAAAACACAAAGAAACCACAGACAAATGAAATGACATACGAGAAACATATATGTGCAAGTCTAAGTACAACAAAGATTAATTTCTAGGATAAATATGTAACTCCTTTCAAACATTAGGGACATGATAGAAAATCCATCAAAAGTAAAGGATATAAACAGATAATTCATAGAAAATAACATGTGAATTTTTAATATTCCTATGAAGAGATGTTCAAAATGTACTAGGAATCAAGGAAATGCATGTTAAAACAATGAAATTCTCTTTTATGCCCAACAGAGCAGCAAATACTAGAAAACTGAATTACACTAAGTAATAAACAATATACAAAGGAACAGGAACCTTCACACTTTGCTGGCAGGATTGAATTGGTACAGCTAGCCAATACTGGAAAAAAACATGGCAATTTTGGAAAAAACATTGGAAATATTTCCAATATCAAAAAAAAGTACGGGAAAAAATATGGCAGTATTTCATGAAATTAAAACAAAATTGAAACTGGATACCTTAGTAGTAGTAAAATGTACAGATGCATATTCCTATGACTTAGAAAATTGTGTGAAATTCTCTCAGGTACATAAAAGGAAGGAATTTTTTATGGGTGAAGTTGGAGGAAAAATCTGATGTCCACTTCTTGGGGAACAGACAAGGAAGAAGTGATAAGTGCATACTATGAGTACGTTAGAAGCAATAAATTAAATGAGCATATAACATCAAGGACAAATCACGAAGTAAGAAATCAGACATGGCATCTAGCACAATACTAGCTATACAAATCCAAAACATGTATAAAGCAATACTACATGCTCCCTAAGAATATGTAAATATATAAATATCTAAGAACACAGATTAAATGTATTAGATAGAATAAGTGCCTGTCATAACAACTAACATTTATTGAACATTTATTGAAATGCTCAGCCCTGTTTTAAATATACTAACTAATGTACTAAAGTAATTCTCAAAATGTTTATCATTTTTATCCCTATTATATAAGGTAAATGGGCCACAGAGAGGTTGATATAGCAAGTGGGTGGCAGATGTGGAATTCAAGCATAGGCAATCTGACTCCAGAGCCTGTGCTCTTTACTTCCCCTATGTTCTCTATGGGGAGGAGACAAAAACTCAAGACGGTAAATGAGAATAGTATGCAATGAATAAACAGTTAACCCCCACACCTGAGATCTGCAAAAGGAAACAAAGTCTTCAATTACAAGATCTCCTTGTTACTCACAACACCAAGTCAAGTGCTTATATAAAATGATCAGGTAGGTTATCAAATATTTGGCCCTTTCTTGTTCTAAAATTTTGAAATCCTAATAATTGACTTTACATTTTCTATGATAGAAGATCCAATCAGATACAGTATAACTGTGAAAAAAAGAAAATATATTATTTTTCACTTTTCTAGGGCAATCTCAATATTATATCATAGAAATTAATTCCTAACACAAAGTAGGCACTTTCAACAGGTAGATAATGATTTTAAGTTCCAGATTTGGGCAAACAAAGAAACTGGTAGCTGTGTTTATACACATAATACTAATACCTCTAGCTAAACTAGCAGATTATTAGGGGGGAAATATTGTAACTTTAGACCCTGAGGCAAGTATTGCAGGAATTATATTATCATAACAGCCATGATATTTACAGTGAAATAAAAACAAAATAAAACACAAAGTAATCTTACAGTAGAACGCTTCCAGAAATGAATAACTTCAGTGATATTTGTTGCAGGATGAAGTAAAAAGTAGTACTTCCATTCATCCCAGTCTACTGTCATTGACCCATCACTATCCATGCTGAAATTTTAAAAAAGAAAAACAGTGCTTATAACATTTATGTCAAAGTTAGTACCACTATAAAAATAAATAATTCTTAAATATTTATTTTGGGAGCCACTCCTTTGGACTTCATTGAAATTACTGTATTTTCGTATTGTTATTTCAATGGACTTTATTTTTTAAAGCAGTTATAGGTTTTCAGAAAATTTGAGACAATAACACAAAGACTCTGGTATATCCCCACACTTAGTGTCCCCTATTGCTAACACTTCACATTATTATGGTACATTTGTTATAATTAATGAATAATAATTGCTACATTATTATTCACTAAAGTCCACATTTTATTCAGAGTTTCTTAGTTTTTAACTAGTATCCTTTTTTTGTTTCAGGATCCCAGCTGAAATAGCACATTCTATTTAGTCATCACATTTCCTTAGGCTCCTCTTGGCTATGATAGTTTCTCTCTCCTTGTTTTTGATAACCTCGACAGCTTCAAAGAGTGCCAATGGGGTAATTGGCCCTCTAGTGGAATTTATTCCATAATGCTTTTAAATTATTTATGTACTTGTATGTATTTCTCTCATATTTTCCTATAACACTCAGCATTCAATAAATATCTGTTGGATGAATGAATAAATGGATGAAAAGTGAATAAAACTGATTGAGGGGTAATTTTATACCTTTTGGCTCTTCAAGTATTATTTTTACTTCTGATCTTCTTCTCCCTATTTGTGGCTTTTACAACCTTTTATTTATGAACTTAAAAAGAAGACTCACTTTTTATAGTGGAAAATTTAGAATTTACTTAATTTTTAAGCATCTCAAATTTTTTTAAGAAGCATCAGAAGTTGTTTCATTGTGTCTAAAAGGTGGAATTAGTGAAATGCTTTTTAAATAGCATTATTGTAAATAAAAATTCTAAGAAACAAATTCTATTCTGCCAACAAAAAGATTAGTACAATTTCCAGTTCTAGCCAAGACAAAATAGTGGCTACAGAACTTAGATTGCACTGTAAGCCAAGCTGAAAGTGGACACAATGTATGAAACAACTGTTTTCAGGCATTGGTCTACAAACAGGACAGGGCTATGATACTTGTGAGAAGAAAAACTGATGAGTTGAGCTCCCCTTTCATTCTCATGTCTGGCTCAGGACACTGCAAATTGTAGCATAGACAAGTAGGAGCCTAAAGAAAGAACAGGTGAATAGAATAAACAAAGATTGGAGCTCAGGGCTGCTGAGAGGGCAGGAATTTGCAGGGCAAATTTTGGAGGGTGTTCCAGAAACTATACAGGTAACCCTTCGAATCTTTGGCTGAATACTAAGCTACCCTTGACTCCATCGGCCTGACAAAAATAGCTACTGGAGGACTGTGAGTTTGTAGAAATTCAGTAGCTGAGCAATACTGAAGCTCAAAAAAGAAAGCAAAGTTGAGAGCGGGGGCAAGAAACATTACATACAGGGGGAACTGAGAAAAGCAGCCACTGACATCAAAGTCAGTTCTTGATAGCAGACTTTTTTTTTTTTTTTTTTTGAGATGGAGATTGCTCAAGCGATTCTCCTTCAGCCTCCTAAGTAGCTGGGATTACAGGTGCCTGCCACCACGCCTGGCTAATTTTTGTATTTTTAGTAGAGATGAGGTTTCACCATGTTGGCCAGGCTGGTTTCAAACTCCTGACCTCAGGTGATCCACCTGTCTTAGCCTCCCAAAATGCTGGGATTACAGGTATGAGCCACCATGCCTGGCTGACAGCAGACACCTTTAGCGATAACTTCAAAGTGCTCAAAGAAAAAAAAACTGTCATCCTAGAATGCAATTGCAATAAAAGTAACCTTCAAAAATAAAGGTGATATAAAGAATTTTCAAGGAAACAAAATAATCACTACAAAATTCACCTGTGGGCAATGTGCACTATTTCAATCTGCTTTGTCTTATGACACTACATTGTAATTACCTGGAAGAATTATCTACTCTAATAGATTGAAACCCTCAAGTGGGGACTTTGACTTGTTCATAATTGCATCTTCTGTAGCTAGAGCTATGACTGGTGTTTATATGAGTTCTATAAATAAACTTTGAATAAATCATTGCTATCAGTAATTCATAATTTATCTAAGAGTATGATTCAGGAGTGTATTTCCAATTTTCCAAAAACAGTATAGCAACATATAATTTTGTGAGTAATGGCTTATAAAATACCACTTGTCATATCAATAAAAAAAAATCCAGAGATTGACAAAGCTCTCAAGTTTCTATCAAACTTGTCCTATTTGTTCTTTTTTTAAAAAAAGCTTTTTTTTTTAATTTTAAGAAACCTTATTTCTTGTTTAATTGCTTATGAATAGAAAACATATTCTGTATAAATCCAATTCTTTTTAATCTTTCACATTTCCTTTAAGATCCAATGTATGGGCAATTCTTATAAATGTCCTATGTGTGCTTTAAGAAACACATATTCTTCAGTTTTCAAGTACAATATTCTATGTATGTTTGCTAGGTAATGGTTGGTGATGGTATTGGTATATTTTATCTTTAATGATATTTACCATCTGCTTGTTATATTAAATACTGAGAAATCTGAGTTAAACTCTCTTACTCTAATCATTGACTTATCTATTCTTCCTTGTACTTTCATTAATTCTTGATTTATAGATTTGGGGCTATATTATTAGATCTATACAAATTTAGAATTGTATATTCTGGGTAAATAAAATCCCTAATCATTATAAAATGCCCCTTTTTATTTTTGTAATGTTTTGGTTTTTCATCCTTTTTCTTCTAACACTTCCATTTACTTAAAAATATGCCTCTTGTAACAGTATGTAATTAGAGTTTGTCCACAGCAACAGCCAAAACCAGATTTACACTGTCAAAGACTTAAAATATTCTGTCAGATAGAAGATACAGATTAATACGATACATTTCATGTTAAGACATGAAAAATAGAATCACAAAACAAGAAAGAAATAAGAAACTATAAGGAATTATCAAACATATTTGAAAAAGAACCAAATGATATAAACTTCTATAAATAAAATTTTTAATAAACTCAATAGAATGGTCAAGTGAAGAAAAGAGATGAAAAGAGGAATTGAAGGTATATTTGAAGGACTTACCAAGAATGACACACAGAAAAGAAAGCAGAAAATATTTTTTAAGACTACGAAAATGAAGGGAAAGTTATGTTTTAAAATATAAAGTTTGAGAATTTTCCAAAACTGTTGTAAGACATGAACACATAATTTCAAGAAGTACAACACTGATGTTGAGGAAATATAATTAAAAAAAGAAAGAAAGTCAGGCCTATTCACTAGATGAAAGCCACAGAACCCCAAAGACAAAAGGGTGATCATTAGAGAACACGGAAAAGACAGATCCCCTACCAAGGATCAATAAAAAGACTAGCCCAATCCTCCATCTAATAGTGGAATTAAAAGCAGTAGAATAATGTCTCAAAGTTCTGAGAAAAAATAATTGTCAAACTAAAACCGTGTATCTACAAAATTTCTTTTCCAGAACAAAAGTGAAATACACATGCTTTCAGATGCTCAACAACTAAGAGTTAAGTGCCAAAATAGTTCCACTGAAAGAACTTCCAAAGGATATAGTTTATGAAGAAAAATCCTGGATGAGTAGTATGGGATGCAAGTACGAATGGTGAGTAAATAAGATGCTAAATATAAATACATCAAACAAGTTTTCTGTATAAAACAACAATTGCAATACCTATTTGTTCACTTTAAAAACAGAACAAAACAGCATATAAATTAGGAGAGGGGTAACTGGTAAAAGTGTTCTAAACTCTATTGTTTGAAGACAGTGTACAGATTTTGTTTAACTTTAGCCTTTACATTAAACTTGTATGGTAAAATTTCAAGCTTAACTACTAACAAGAAACAAAGTATATAAATCCAAACCACTGAAACAATGAATAAGGAAAAAAGAGAAAAATTTTATTAAAAAGAAAGGAAAAAGAGAAGTCTATAAATACTGTAAATCAGTATTATAATCAATCCAATTTCATTCAGTCTCTTACAGAGAATATAAAAAGAAAGACTACTCCACAAGGCATTCCATGAGGGCATTGTAACCTAAGAAACAAAATCAGATTAGGACTCTGGAGAAAAGAAAAGAACAAGAAATCTCAGCCACGAACATAAATGTAAAAGCTATGAACAAAATTTTAGCAAATTGAATCCACCACAATATTTTAAAGTTGTGTTGATCCTAGGAATGTAAGGATGAATTAGCAAAGAGAAAAAAATCTATAACTTAATTCACCATATTAACAGATTTTTAAAAGATATATATTATCTCACAAATTTAAACCCATTTATAATTTTTAAAAGTCTCTTGACAAAATAGGAACTTTTTTTTATTGCATTTTAGGTTTTGGGGTACATGTGAAGAACATGTAAGATTGTTGCATAGGTACACACATGGCAGCGTGATTTGCTGCCTTCCTCCCCTTCACCTATATCTGGCATTTCTCCCCATGCTATCTCTCCCCTCCTCCACACCACCAATCCCTCCCACATTTCCCCCCAACAGACCCCAGTGTGTAGTGCTCCCCTCCCTGTGTCCATGTGTTCTCATTGTACAACACCCGCCTATGAGTGAGAACATGCAGTGTTTGAT